GTAAAGGCTAAATAAGAGAGAAACGGGATTTTAATAGAGCGAGGCGTGGCGTGTTATTAATCTCTAAACACTTCTTGGTTTCTCCTTTGGGGGGGGGAGGGGCATGACAAGGGGGGGAGGGGGGGAGAGGGGAAAGGGAAGGGGTGACTGGCACATCGACGAAGTGAGGTCAAGATAAGGCGAAGAGGGAGAGGAAGGAAGGGAAAAGAGAGAAAGCGAGAGAGCATCGATCGGCGGGCGAGAGAGAGAGAGAGAGAGAAAGACAGAGACAGAGAGAGACAGACTGACAGACAGAAAGAAAGAAAGAATGAGAGAGAGAGAGAAAAAAGGAAGAGAGAGAGAAAACAGAAAGAAAGAAAGAGAGAGAAAGAAAGAAAGAAAAAAAAGAAAGGGAGAGTGAGAAAAAACGAAAGAAAGAAAGAGAGAGAAAAAAAGAAAAAAAGAAAGAAAGAGAGAGAGAGAGAGAGGACCTGAGTCTTCTTCACACTCATGTCAACAAAGAAACATAAAAACCTCCTCCTGTGCCTTTCCTTCCTTGTCTCTTTTATCCAAATCTCTTCTTTTCTTCCTCTCTCTTGACCCCCTAGACCTCTGACCTGGAACGCGCACCTCCTCTCGCGTTGACCTGCTTGCAAAGAGGTCAGCCGCGTACCCAATGCAGTCCCTGGTAAACGGTGTCAGAGATTGACCTCTGGCGCAAAACCCACTTTCATGCCCCTGATTTGACACTGACCTGGTTTGACCTGTGATTTACCTTTCATTATTTTTTTTTTCTTTTTTTTATTATTATTATTATTAATTTTTTTTTAGAGAGAGAATTTAGCTCAGTGTGTTTAGAATGTTATAGGGTATTTAGGAGAGGTCAGGGTATTATTATAAAGAATTTTCCCTTCTTTATTGCACATTGCAACAGAGAAGTACTACGTATTAGGGGAGTTTTTGCGGTTGAATTACCATATTGCATTGTTGGTGGCTGGACCATAGCAAGGTGTCGATGGTTATTGCTCAGTTAAGAAAATAATAAGTTTCAACTGTTTGCTACTGAATTTAAGGAAATTGTGTTGCTGTGTATTCTAAGCTCAGTTGAATTGTCTATTTTAAGAATAATATGTTAGAGAGGAGTGATGGAAAAGATTATCTATCAGTTTGAAGAAGAAATTACTGGAAATTGTTTCTTGTGCAGTTTACTGTGATCTGCAGGTTGTCGTGTATGGATAAACACCGTAGATTTGTGATTCGGATATTCATGATGTAAATTTTTTGCCCGGTTTTTCATGTATTTTGATATGTAATGTGCTTATGCTATGTCTTTGTTTTTTTTCTTTTTTTTTTCAAAGTTTATATTTAAGCACATTGATATTATTGTCCTCTCATTGAGGTACAGGATAAAGTAATCTAGATTTGACTTAAAAGATCGACATAAGCATTCAAGAGTAAAAGGTTTTGTGATGTGATTAGCAATTTAAAAATCCCGCAGATAAAGCTCATGAATGACAGTCAGTTGATAATATTATTAGAGCTTTAAGCGTAGTTGTTTCTTTTCTTTTCTTTTCTTTCTTTTTTTTTTGTAATTAGAAAGACTATTATCCCTCAGAGGAAAAGAAAACTGCTTATATTCATGTGGAGAAGCTTGAAGTGCTTAGCTGTGTCGACTGCATTAAAGATAATCCGAATCTAATGTAGTACTGTGATCATGAGCAGTGCAGTGATTGTGCTAATATTTAATGGCTTCTTATCTCAAGAACAGCATTAACGTTTTGATGTTTCATCTCTGATTATTCACTCGAGATTTGTTATCCTGGTATTGAGTTTTGATAAGATTAATAATTCAGCTAGATAACTGCGTTGATAAATTTCTGCATGAAAGTGCAAATATAGACTTTATTACATACCAGTGGAGAAAGATTATTCATTTATTATTGTTATTATAATGATAAATTGTCGATGTAAATTAAGACATAGTAAGTGGGATTTAAGGTTTTGCTTCCTCTTCATTCTCAGTCTTTCTACCTAGTCTGTGGGGCAAATAAGAAAAAGATTACAAAAGCCTGATTGCTTACCTTGCTTCCCTCGCTCTAAGCCAGTCGAGGAACCTGCGCATGACCATATATTGTTTGCTCAGCCATCCATCCCTTTGCACTTCGGCCAAGTTTGCGTTAATGTGATTAAGCCCGAGCAGAGGAATTGCTTCGCTTGGAAAGGCAGTTGGTTAATGGAATGGGGGGCCAAGGAATATAAAAATGAAAACCTTGGGAGCAGCTGCTTGAGATGTCTGAGATCTCAGGCGTATGATGCAGTGTGACTGAGTTGGTTTGGGAATTAGTGGAAGGAAGGAAAGTGTTATAAGTTGTTAAGGTAAATGGGGGAATCAGATTTTTTTTTTTTTCTTATGTTTGTGTATGTGTGTTAAAGTTTGCTTCTTCATAGAGTAAATATATGTAAAATCCTTTTTACATGGATATTTAGGGTCAACTTGTTTCAGGGTTTGAATTTATTGGAGGGAAAACAGTTCAATACCATGAAGTCATGCATAGGCCATTCCGGTGGTGGGAAATGGCTGTAGGAAAATTTGCCATGTGACATTAATTCCATATGTTCCAGTAGGATACAGAAGAAAAAATTAGCTTAGTAACTAGCTTCTATTATGTGCAAGCTATGGAAAACAAAAGTTAATATTATAAAAATGTTTTGTTGTTACCTTTACATTAGAGTTAGTGTATAGTTTCAGATTATGCTGATCTGGATAGTGCATTCCTGGATAGTAATTATTATAACACTACTTATGATTAGGAAGTATCTAAGCATTATAGGCCTTTCTGGAATGTGACACATATGATGCATCAACAGACTAAACAATAACTTTACTCTACACTTATTTCAGTTGTCTCTCAAAAAATAAGTGGCATTTGTGGAATCAGCCAATCAAGATTGATGCAGGGCCTTTAGAGATATCAAAGGATCACAGTCGAGTATTAGGAATATTGGTGCACTTTGCCAGGCCTCCCGACTGTATCCAACCATATTGCTTATCCCGGTCCTCTTGCATATTGATGTGGTCTGCATTGGAAGGCCTATAATCAAACTGTCCTATGGTAGCTCAGTGTCAAGTAAAAAACGCAGCTAGTATTACTTCTTTGGTGATCTGACAAAGACCAACACCTGTACCCGACATGCATTATCGTCATTGTCATCGTCATTGTTGGCTGTAGGAGCAGTTATATATATTTATTTTGTTATTGTTTATCATTATTATTGGCATTGACCATTATTATTGTTGGTGTTAGTATTACTTTTTTTTGTTGTAGTTACTTTTTGATATTGATATAGGCATATATATTTCTGTTAAAAGTATTGACATTTATTTTTTATTTATTTATTTATTTTTTCTTGTTAATTATCATTATCAATGTTATTCATGCCATGTATTAGTTTCTAGGAATATTGGTTTTTCTGTTGATGATGATTTTATTCTTGTTGTCAGCGTTAGAGTTATTATTATTATTATTATTGTTATTATTATTGTTATTATTATTGTTATTAATATTGTTGTTGTTGTTATTATTATTATTATTATTATCATCTATTATTATTATTATTATTATTATTATTATTATTATTATTATTATTATTATTATTATTATTATTATTATTATTGCTATTATTATTATTATTAGATTATTAGTGTTATAATTATTAATTATTGTCATTATTATTTTTTTATTGTTATTATTACTGTAATTATCATTGTCATTGTCATTGTTATGGTAATTATCAATATTATTATTAGTATAATTATTGTTGTTGTAATTGCTATATTATCATCATCATTATCACTATGATTATTGTTGATATTATTATTATTATTATTATTATTATTATTATTATCATTGTTATGATTATTATTATTGTTATAATTATTATTATTATTATTATTATTATTATTATTATTATTATTGCTGTTGTTATGCTTATAATTTTGATGAATAATTTTGTTATTATTTATGCGATATTGTTATTGTTATTTTTATTGTTATTGTCATTGTCATTGTCATTATCAATATTAATATCACTATCAATATCACCATCATTGTTGTCAACAGTTATATATGATTATCATTTTTGTCAATCATTAGTTATGATTATCATGATCATTGTATTCATCGATTATTATTTATGATAATCGTCATAATTGGTGTCACTGTTATATTTTTCGTGTTATTAATTTTATTATTATTATTATTATTATTATTATTATTATTATCATTATTATTATTATTATCATTATTATCATTATTATCATTATCATTATCAATATCAATATCATCGTTATTATTATTATTATTATTGTTCTTGTTGTTGTTATTATAATTATCATTATTATAATAATCATCTTTATTATTACTATTATTATTATTATTATTATTATTATTATTATTATTATTATTATTATTATTATTATTATTATTATTATTACTATTGTTATTATTGCTGTTGTTATTGTTGTTATCATTATTGTTAGATATTATTATTGTTATTATTATTATTATTATTGTTGTTGTTGTTGTTGTTGTTGTCGTTATTATTATTATTATTATAATCATCTTCATTATTATTGTTATTATTATTATTATTATTATTATTATTATTATTATTATTATTGCTGTTATTATTGTTGTTATCATTATTGTTAGATATTATTTTTGTTTTTATTATTATTATTATTATTATTATTATTATTATCAATATCATTATTATTGCTATTGCTGTTGTTGTTATCTTTATTGTTAGATATTGTTATTATTGTTATTATTATTATGATTATTATGATTGTTATTATTATTATTATTATTATTATTATTATTATTATTATTATGATTTTTTCTGTTATTTTCATTATGATTATTGTTATCATTATCATTATTATTATTATTATTATTATTATTATTATTATTATTATTATTATTACTATTATTATTATTATTTATTTTTGTTGTTGGTGT